CAGCCTGGGTTCCTGCTCAGGTCTGCACTCAGCCCCGGGTCGGCGGTCCCCAGGCAGCTCCGGCTCCGTCCGAGCAGGGGAGCCCCTTGCCTGTGAAAGCCGGGTGGTGGTGTCGTGAGGGAGCCGGGCGGGGTGGTGGTCTTGTTAGTGCTGGAGGCTGCTCAGTGAACTTTCTCTCAGCAGTTTCTGGAGCAGAAGTATGGCTACTTCCACTGTAAAGACTGCAAGACCAGATGGGAGAGTGCTTACGTGTGGTGCATTTCTGGAAGCAACAAGGTAGTTAAGTAATTTCTTGCTCCTGAGCCTTGTAAGAATGGCACCAAATTGGATGTTTTGGCACAAATTTAGGTACCTGTACTGAACACTCTGAGTAAGTCTCTGTAGTAACTGAGAACTTGCTTTTTTCAGGTGTACTTCAAGCAGCTCTGTCGCAAATGCCAAAAGGGCTTCAATCCCTATCGAGTGGAAGCAATCCAGTGCCAGGTAAATTACAGCTTTCTGTGTCCTGGTAAGACTGCCAGAGTTTGTCATATATGCTTAATAGTTTACAGTTGCTGAACTTGATATTGACTTTGTCTGGAAGAGAACTTGCTTTCATCAAAGTACTAGGAAATAAATATTACTTGGGAAAGATGTTATGGGATAGGGCTCCCTCCTGCAGATGACTTACATGAACAGCTTTCTGTTTGTACAGTGTTATGCCTAGCTACATGTAGAGTAGGGTTTTGTGCTTCTAGGTGAGAAAGCTCTTGTAGCTTAACTCCACAGGGTTTTTACCACATGAGCTCTTTTAAGTGTATCAGCCCAAATGTGTTGCTATGATTAAGGAAAACTAAATGTCAGTCTAATATGAAGCGAGTACCTTTGATCTACTACTAACAAAATGCCTTGTTTCTTAAGACCTGTTCAAAGACTCGTTGTTCCTGCCCTCAGAAGAAAAGACACATTGATCTCAAGAGACCTCATCGCCAAGAACTTTGTGGCCGCTGCAAAGGCAAGAGGCTGTCCTGTGATAACACCTACAGCTTCAAATACATTGTCTGATCCGTGTGCCCTCTTCTGTTTTGCACTTTGCACTTTGTCAGTCTCTTGCAATGTTTTGACTTTAGGCTTTTGACCTGGCATTGGATAATGGATAAAGACTTTTGTATTATTTATAAAGTATATAACTTTATTCTATATATGCTGTGAATAAAGAAAAATAAAAGTTTGCAATAGTTTTGTTACCCCCTAGTTTCATCTTGCTGGGATGGAAAAGGAAAGTAGTGGAAGGAAACAGAACCTATTTGATTTTGTAAAGAAAATGGGTTTTGTTTTTAGCCTGTCTTTAGGGGTTGCCAAGATTAAAACTGCGATAGCAATTCTTTCCTTTGGTCACTCAAACTGAACTAGTGTGGAAGATCCAAATGTGCTGGAGTGTAAAGTCTGGGGCAAATGTATCTGCAATTGTCTCTTCCCACTGCTTCTGTCAAATGAATAAAAAAAATAAAAATCAGCAGTTTGATAATCAAAGGGACAAGAGGGAATTCCTACCCCTGGATGGGGAGAAGCCTTTGCAGTGATATAGACCGGGGACTGCCTGGCTAGGGGGCAGCTCATCGGAAAGCTCCCTTGGGGTCTGGCTGGCAGTGAGCTGGGTGTGGAGCCAGCAGTGTAGGTGGTGAAGCATCCTTGGCTGTACAAACAGAAGTGGAGCAGGGGAAGCAATTGTCCCCCTTTACTCAGTGCTTACTAGACCACATCCAGATTACTGTATCCACTTTTGGGCTCTGTATAAGAAAGCTGTTGATCAACTGTAAGGGGTTCAGTAGAGGCCAAGCTGGTCACAGGGCTGGAGCACTTGCTCTGTGAGGAGACATTGAGGGAACCGGGCTTATTCAGTCTGAAGAAGCATAAACTTCAGGGGGACGTACCAGTAGCCTGCCAGGTTATGGTTCCTCAGGAGAGATGGAGCCAGGCCCTTCAATGTGGTTCATGATTAGTGGGCTGAGAGACAACATACATACAAATAAACCAAAATTGGTTCAGACTGGATAAAGGAAAAGCTTTTCCACCATGAGAACAGTCAAGTAGAATAGGTTGTCCAGGGAGGATGCGTGGTCTCCATCCTTGAATGTTTTCAAGACCCAGCTGCATAAAGGCCTGAATAACCTGCTCTGATCTCATGGCTGACCCTGCTTCAAAGCAGAGATTGGACCAGATGAACTCCTCGGGTCCCTTCCAACCTCAGCTTTTCCTGTGATTCTGGGATCTGTAAAATATCCGTGATTTTGCCAAGTGATAGAGTAGATCTCAGCTTTTACCAACCAACTAAAATTTTTGCAGCCCACCCCAACTGCAGTTCTGAATAGCTTTCAAAAGTGAAATACATAACTGAAATCTGAAGACTTCTCTAACAATTGCAGATTATTATACTCAGAAAAACAGCTGCATGATTTGCCTTGCAACTATTTTGTCCTGCAGCTACAACTCTGCTGAAGAGCTCTGTGGACTGCAAAATCAAAACCTGTAAAAGAAGTCGATTTCACCCCTTTTATGCATCAATACAAGTATTTTCCAAGATCCACGTAAAATCGTGCAAGCATTCTGAAAATGAAAAAGGGGTGAAGGGGAGAGGGCTTTACTGGATTCTCAGAGCCGAGGCTGATACGGCAGGCTGGACAGCTTTTCTTTTACCTTTAGCACGAGAAGAAAACCCACCCCACTGTAACCCAATGCTGAAACAAACAGGAACATTACTGATGAAACAAACCTTCACCTCCATTTGGGATTTTTTTTTCAGTTATGAAACTGCTTTAGTCAACGGATTCTTCCTGCCTGAGTTGTAACTATAGACTGACAAAAAAATCCTTACATTTCCCACTGTTTTCTTTCAGTGTAATGAGCGGTCCCACCATAAATGATGAAAAAGGTGTCTTTTGGGGGCTGCTGATCATGGATACCATCTGCAACAGTACAGATTCAGACAAGAACACAGTCTTCACAACAAGCACATACTCTGTTGCGATTATATATGACTTTTATATTTTAGTTAAATGGATGTACTGATCCAAATATCAACCAAAGTTACTTCACAAAAACAGTAAGTGTATTTACAGAGTGAATAAGTTACATAGTTGTCAGAATAAAAGTGTCTCAGATGTGCAACAGATTTACATGCATACATTTAACACTGGACAGCAGTTAAATGTAAGAAAAAAACCCAACAGGTATGACTTTTATATATACATTACAAATAAAATAAGACATCTCTTTAAAGAAACTTAACATGAGAACTTGCATTTCACGTTAATATTTTTACTTTTTATACTCAAAATTTATATTAAATAAAAATATGCATGCAAAACAGTTCAAAAGATTTGACTCTGTGATGGGACTTTCTCCTACAAAATGGCAAGTTAAATTAGATCAACCATCCTTTAATAGTATAAATATATTCATAAAAGCAACCCTCTAGTAAAAAGCAGCCAAGGTCCTTTAAAAAAAAAAAAAAAGAAGAAAATCTACCAAGACCATTCACGATGCTCGGGGGCCTAAGAACAGACCTCTGCAATATGATCCAGTACCTTCAGAGACAGTAGCCTAGTAACATTAGGAAATGTACTTCATAGCAGCTCGTTATTTTAAGATACAGTAATCATATTCAAATTACAGTGTACATTAAACTGTAGTCCATTTACAATTTGTTTCATATACACAGGCTCTCAGCTTTTGACCAACAAGTTTGCGAGATTCTGTGGCCAGCTTCATTCTGCCCATCTTTCACTCAACCAAATAAGAGAAAAAAGGAAAAGAATGTACAAGTTTTCTTTTTTTTTTTTTTAACAAAAAATATTATTTCGTGAAGGAAACATTGCACTTTTGCCAACCTAAAATTAATTTGCTATAAAGGAAGTATTGTTCAGTGTAGTAGGCTTTGGTATGCAATGGAAGTCACTTCTTCAGTAGTGAGTTGCAGTTGCTCAGTGAAATGCTAACTGATTTTTGTGCAACAGAGAACAAAGGATGTTGTCCCAGATGCTCTATGCTACCTTTGTCCTTACAGTATTGCTACACATTTGAAGTTCAGCCCATATCTTTTTAGAAGGAGTCCTAAATGTAACAAGGGTGAGTACAGTTTGACCAAACCTTTGTAAGGCTGAGAAGACATTGAGCCACCTCACTCCAACAGGGCAGCACTCCCAGCTTGAAAGAGGACACAAGAGTCCTGTCAGAGACTTGTGCCGGAAATGCTGGAGTCTGGAAGAAAAGTATTGATGACCCGGTAGCTCTGAGCTCTGCGAATCATGTCGCGGATCTCTATATTCAGTTCCATTAATTTGGTACAGATTTCCGTCAGGCTCTGGTTGGAGCCCACCAGTGCATAGGTGCCCGTCTGACCCAAGGTTTGGTGCCGGAAGTAAATGTTCAGTAGTGTCTGGACTTCATCGTCAGAGCTACTTCCAAAGATATCATTGGGCCACAAAATCCTGCAATCAAACAGGAAAAGAATGTGCGTATCATTATGGGTTTATTAGCACAGACGGAAACTAGGTGACAGAGATCTCTCAAAGGAGAACTGACTCGCACATGCTTATAAGCCAAGAGCAACTCACTGTTTTACACTACTCATTTGTTACTCAGACTCTGGTGTCAGGCACTGAAAGCACATAAAAGCGCAATTCCTATTATCTAAAAAACCAAAAAGTTTAAGAAAACTCATTCAAATAGTGAAAGTGAAACTGGGCTGAATGTTAGCCGATGCCAGTGAAACGCACCTGTAAGGAATTAGCTCTGTAAAAAGATTCTTAAGAGCTTCACAGAAGTACTTTAGATCTACGCAATGTAATTAAGCATCTTAATTGTTGCAAGCATACATGTTTGTATAACTGATTTGATATCTTTACTTGTGGCACACCCCTGCAAAAGTTAAGAATATCAATGCCCCCATTTACCTCATTGAAACGTTAAATTAATATGCTGACTCAGCATACTACATTTAGTACAAAGGTGGGAAGATAGTAACTTTTCTCATAACATGGAAGTCTAATATGAGCCATGTAGCAAAACTTGCCTGCATTCTCTTATTTGTCGGACAGCTTTAACAAGTTCATTGTTTTTCAAACACTCCAGCATGGACTGAATAGCTGCTTCCGTAGAATTGAATGTGGGCTCAGATTCCGTCGTCAGAGGCTCAGCTGCGATCGCAGCCGTAGCATCCTTAAGATTTTTCTTCAGCTCACTCAGTTCTCTTGACATATTTAACAGCTGTTCCAAGGAGAAAGATGAGAGATGAGTATTTTCATTCTCCATCAGCACCAAAGAGAGTAGGTATTTCAAGTCTGTTCTTCCTGCTACATTGAGTTACGCATTACGGAAAAGACCCCATTTTAACACAAGGACTTTTCTTGATTTCTGTGCTCTGTACAGTATAGGGAAAACACAAACTACTGATTTTTAAGCTTTGTGCTTCCTCTAACCCTATGCTGTATTTTTGGCTTGCTAAAATGCAACAGTTCATCTAAACAATCTTTTATTTTTCACCCCTGCTACTTTTCATAGTGAAACAGCTATTCCTCATACTATTGTTCCCTGGTTTCATCGGCTGCATTATTTATAACAATCTAACAAAATTGTAACTGTGAAATACAGTTACAGAAATCAATTATCTTACAAGGAACACAACATATTTCTTAAATTTAGTCTACTCTAAGACAGATACCTACTGCCCTCTCTTCCCTTGCAAGCGAACAGCCCAGTCACAATACAAGCCAGCCTTCAGAACAGTTCCTTAAGATACAATAAATATTCAAACTCTTGGTACTACTACAGCACAGCTGATAAAAGAAACCATTTCCATTTATAGAGAATCTCTAAACTACTAGAATCTGTCATAAAATACATTTTATAGTTTCATTTCTTTTTACAGCTACAAGGAAAATACAGTAACTTCTTTTAAAATATATACACCTTACCAGGAGAAAAATATATATGGAATGGCAAGTTAAATGTTTCCGTAAATGATGATCATTCAACTTAAACTGATCACCTCAAAGATATTTCAA